TTGCATATATCAAACTTCATACAATATATTGTATTGATGGCCTGCCACCTACTGGCAACAGCTAATATTTGTCATCCTGTTGATTTAAATTGCAAAAATAATTTGGAAAGTGAAAAAAATGCCATTGAGCTATATGGGAAAAGCTTCTGTGCAGATGAACCATCAATAATTTTATCAGGGATCCCCATGAAATACACGGGAAGCATGAGGAAAATAAATGATGCAATGTCCACCATTTCCCATAAACTAAAAGGTCAGAGTGCAAGGAGCCTCAGAGGGAACAAAGGACCTTTTCACATTGCTGTACTAAACCAGATGTTATTAGTTGCTGGCCCGATTTCAAGTAAAGCAATACAGGGACAGGGGTTTCATACAGCAAATTTCCTTCCATTAATGAGCCCTCTCTGAAGCCCTATGGTCATTTCAAACAGTGCCACTTCTCCCCCACCTCTTTTCACGCCGTGCAATCTTCCTCGGACTTTTTGTGTGTGGAAAGTTCTAAGTTCAGTGCTATAGCAGCATCATTGGGATGCCTTGACTCCATTGACTCCGGCCCCTGCCACACACGGGGGGGGGGGACTGCGCGGCCAAAATAGACACGCTGCAGTGGGATCACACGGATCCCCTGAGCCGCGGCGCCATTGCTCCCCGGCACGATCAGATGCCGGGGAGGAAGCCACGGTCGGGAGACCGAGGCAACCGGCTACGCATGCATCCGCATGCACAGTTCGGCCAGGAGCCGGGGATGCGCCGGCAGAAGGACGCGCCGGCGATCCCACGGCCGCGCTTGTCACGGCCGTTCAGGTAAGACCACCTCTGTCAGTGGTTCTTTTTTGCTGCGCAGTTTCCGGGGTTAGGGACGGATCGGGGACGGGTGCGCGCTGCTTCCCAGATGTTGCGGTGAGATCGTGCCCATTTGCTGCGGCCCCGATCCGTCCCTCTCCCGGGCCAAAACCCTCCGTGTGACCGGGACCTCCATTGACTCAATGCATCTCAAGTGCTATATAGACACAGTGAGATCATAGCTGTTGTTACCTGGAAACAAGAGGAGAGAAGTAGCTCACTGGGCAGTGGGTGCTCAGGGCATCAACGACTGGTGTGACAGACATTGCTAACCTAAGAAGGTGTCTGTAGCAAACATCCTGATGTTCACCCACCCATGCAGCCTGTGGCAGAATTTGTTATTAGGGGAGCCTAGGCCATTTCTATAATTGAGCTCACATTAGCCTAAGGCCGTGATAATATGCACAATTAGACCCGCCATAGGCATGAATGCTGGGCGGATTTAAAGGGCATGATCAGACAACAACATCTGGGAAATGCCCCTCAGCCATTGGCAACCTGTTCTGCTCCGCTGCAGAAACGGAGTTAAAAGACACTGGGGAAAATCTGGTAGAAAATGGGTTACAGCAGGCCACGGATGGACTTTCCCCTGTCTGATCACTCCAGCAAACTGTCATGCCGTTGGGATGATCTGATCAGGCCATCCCAACTCCGTACCGTTGTTCCCCCTCCTTCTCAGTATGTGCATCATTGCAAACTCCATAGGGAGCCCTCAGTGCGGAGATGCAATTAATCAATTCCTCATTTAAGTGCGTCAGAAACAAATGGCAACTCCCCTGACTCACCCGTAGTTGCATCTGATCACGCAGTGGCAGGCTATGCCTGCAGCTTCCAAGGACTGTGTGATCGCGCAACTGCGGGTCAAATTCCTCCAGAGGAAATAGCCTCGCTTCCCCCCCCTCATTTTTTCTGCCTCATGTGACCGAAAGTGTGCCTTGGCAATGAAGTCAGAATGGTGAGTAATGTTTCTGTATCGTCAGGTGGAGTTTACTGTGTTTTTAAAACCATATTACAGATAATCTTCTATAATGGCCTTTAGCCATGTGTATTGGATGGAAACGCATGTCGTAAGAGTAAAGGTTTGGATCCCCCCCTCCTATTTCCACTTTATTTTTGGGTAGATTCAGTACTAATCCAAGAGGGGAGGACTTGAAATAACTTTACTCAAGATGCTCTTGGGCAGGGGTGTCAAAGATACAGCCCGTGGGCCGGAACTGGCCCAACCAGGTCTCTAATCCGAACCGTGAATAGAGCGCCCCCACCCCCCTGCTCCCCCCACCCCGCACTGGTAAAGATTTACTGCTGCCTGTTGGGGTTGATCGGCAGCTCCATAAAACTGACTTTTTCAGGGACTGAGATCAGCTGTTTCCCTCTGTTGTCAGGAGCAAAGAAGCTCAGTGCAATCAGCAGCTCCACGTGACTAGCTTTTCCGGTGGCTGTTTCCTCTCCCTCTGTTCTTGCCATGCAAAGACTCATCCTTTGCCATTGGAAGCTCCCTGCTGTGCTTTGTCTTTGCAAAGTACCTCCTGTATTTGTTCAGGAGGACTCCAAGAGCCTCAGGGAGATCTGCAACTCCCTGTGTTTCTGGGCTATCCTTTGCAATTGGTGTGTTCTGTTTATGAAAGCTGGAAGAGGCAGCAGTCTCTGCAGTCTCACATGTGGGGTGAGTAGGGTTTTTTTGGTCATGATTATATTGTAGTAAAGTTGCATGTTTGTTAAGGATAATTTGCCTGGTAGCAACTTGGGAAGTCAGAGTCAATTAAAAAAAACACCCCTCTTTGAATACAGTAGTGTTGCTGTTGTTATATTCTGGTGAATCTGCATTATAAGTTTTCTGGAGTGTTATGGATGCTTTGCCTGATAGTAATTTGGATATGAGCTGCTAGCAAACCCCCCCCCCAGGGACACACATCCTCCTTGTATTCAGCCTTTCTGCTGCTTCTTGTTATAGTATTTCAATTGTCTTTGAGATGAGATGAAGTGGCATATAAATATACACATGGGAAGTATGATTGCAGGTTTGGAGAATAAACCACTGGGGGGTAAAATATTTGGAAATTTCCTCCAGTTGAACCACATCTCTCCTTGTAGAGGTGTAAACAGGCCATTTTTCTTTCGTGTTTTCCTTTTTTTAAAAAAATGACACAGCTGCCCTCAGCGTTCCTTACTTCTTAGAAGGCAATGGGTAAAAAATGACACTCTTATCTTCCATTCCAATATATTTGAAAAAGTGTGCAGGCACATGAAAGCTCATACCTTGAATAAACCTTTGTTGGTCTTAAAGGTGCCACTGGACTCTAAATTTGTTCTATGAACCTTTTTGTAAAACTGTCACCCTTTCCATTGCAGCATTGTCCTGGCAAGTGTGTGTTTTGGAAAGACTGGCAATAATGGCATTAGCCAAGAAAAGAAAAGTAGATGCAGTGTCATGTTGTTCAAGAAAAATGGAGAAGTCTTTATTTTGTGTGTGGAACAGAATGGAAAACCAATATGCCTGATATGTTCACAGGTAATATCAGTTGTTTGTGTTCTTTGTAAAGTGTGTATCTCCCCTACCCTTATGACACACATAACTTGGCCCCAGGAAGTCCCATTTATGTCAGATCCAGCCCTCGTAAGAATTGAGTTCGACATCCCTGCTCTTGGGGCTCTGGTTGGTTGGTCACTGTATGGATCCCTCGGAATTCCAGCTCATCTCCAGACTAGAGATCAATTCCCCTAGAGAAAATGGATGCTTCGGAGGGGGAACTCTGTGGCATTGTGCCCCTGAGGTCCCTCTTCTTTCCCCAAACTCCAGGAGCTCCCCGAACTGGCTCTGGCAACACTACCCCCCATCTCCTGCCGGTGGCCAATGGGGACCCGACAACCCTATGACCGGTCTGACCCGCCAGGCTCTTCCTACATTCTTAACCTACGCTTCCATTCTCAAGAAGCAGTGGCTGTAGTCCGCGAACGCAAAATGGTTTTATTAAGTCCTTGGGGGCTGCAAGCGCCTTATTTATGTGTCCCCCCCCCCGGTGTTTTGCTCGGGCACCATGCAGAAGGCACGATGGGGCGTTCCGAGAACGAAGGGCCCCCAAAAGGAAAAGCTGTAACGCTATCAAAGCGCCTCCCCCCCCCCCCCC